ATCTTCCAGTTTTGATGAACATTTGAGGAATCTTGAAGAGGCATTTGAAAGAATGAAGAAGTACAAGTTGAAGATGAATCCAACCAAATGTGCTTTTGGAATATCAGCCGGGAGTTTTCTAGGATTCTTAGTTCATGAGAGAGGAATTGAAATTGATGCCAATAAGGCTAAAGCCATTCTTGATAGTCGGCCACCCAAGACGGTTAAAGAAATCCAAAGTCTGTTGGGTAAGGTGAATTATTTGAGGCGTTTCATTTCTAATGCTGCTGGCAAGGTCAGACCCATTACTAAATTGTTGAAAGCTGGAAAAATCGCCTTTGAATGGGGTCCCGACCAACAGACGGCTTTAGATGCTATCAAGCAGGCATTGGTTCACCCTCCAGTCTTGATGCCTCCTAAACAAGGTCGGCCACTCAAACTTTATTTGGCAAATACATATGAAGTGGTTAGTTGTTTATTGGCGCAGGATGGTGATGACGGGAAGGAAAGGGCAATCTACTATCTCAGTAAAACCCTTACAGGACCAGAACTGAATTACACTATGCCAGAAAAGATGTGTTATTCATTAGTCTTTGCTTGTACTAAACTCGAGCATTACTTGCTGCCCAGAAGAGTTGAGGTCATATCAAAGGTGGATCTCATCAAATTGATTTTACAGAGACCTACTATGAAGGGCAGACTCATGAAGTGGGCCATCAAATTGGCTCCTTTTGATCTTCAACATTCCCCGTTGAGGGCAGTCAAGGGACAAGCAGTAGCCGACTTCTTAGCAGAATTTTCCCAAGTCGGGTATTCTCATAGTGATAGCGTCCGACCATTCGGTTGTCCATCATATTTGAATACCCTACAGGTCGGATGTGTGCATTATATGAGTACCAGAACATGGGTGATGTTCTTTGATGGTTCTACCTCTGGAAACAAATCAGGGGCAGGGGTCTTTTTGCAAGGACCCGACGGTCAAAAGATTAACTTACAACTAAGATTGGAAGCCATGACCCATAATTCGGCAGAGTATGAAGCTTTAATTTTGGGTTTGGAGGCTTTAATTGCCAGGAAGGTCCAGTCTGTAATTATAAGAGGGGATTCTCAATTAGTGGTCAACCAGGTAAACAATCAATATGTTTGCAATTACCCTCATCTTCGCAAATACAGGGACATCGTGGGTCGGTTATTGACAAAAATTTCAGAAGTAATAATTGAGTTCATTCCAAGGAAAGAAAACCAACGTGCTGATGAGTTGGCTCAAAGGGCCTGTAAAGGAATTCCAGGGAATATGTGGTCGGAGGTCAAGTCGGGCATAGAAGAAAAGACAGACCCAATACGTGATCGAATGGTCGGGCAGGAGACTGTCGGATCTGAGCTCGACTGCGAAGTTACGGTCGGGCAGGAGATAGTCGCAGAGGAGCCCGACTGCGAAGTTACGGTCGGGCAGGAGATAGTCGCAGATGAGCCCGACTGCGAAGTTACGGTCGGGCAGGAGGTAGTCGCACATGAGCCCGATTGCGAAGTTATGGTCGGGCATGAGACTGATGGACAGGAGCCCGACTGCGTAGTTACTATCGGGCAGGAGCCCGACGGCTTAGTTACAGTCGGACACAAAGATACCAGTGAAACAGTGCCCGATTGGAGAACAGAGCTTATCACATATTTACAGAATCCTGGTGCAAATGTTTCAGTTGCGACGCGATTGAAAGCTTTACGTTTTCAATTAATAAATGGAATTTTGTATAAGAGGTCATTTGAAGGTCTGCTTTTGAAATGTTTGGGGTCTAAAGAAGCTCTAGAGGTAATGACAGAAGTACATGGTGGGATATGTGGAGCTCATCGGGCAGGTCTCAATATGAGATGGGCCATTCATCGCTTGGGTTTTTTCTGGCCTAAGATTTTTGAGGATTGCATACAATTTGCAAAAGGCTGCCAGGAATGTCAGAGACATGGAAACTTAAATCATTTGCCAGTAACCGAATTGCAATTCTTGGCAAAACCATGGCCTTTTAAATCATGGGCTATGGATATTATTGGGAAAATACATCCTGCTTCATCAAAACATCATTGTTTCATATTGGTTGCGACTGACTACTTTACCAAATGGGTAGAGGCAATCGCTTTGAAAAATGTGGATCAGAAAGAAGTGATAGACTTCGTTTTGAATCAAATTATTTACAGGTATGGTATTCCTCAGTCTATAACAACCGACCAAGGCCTGGTTTTCACAGGGGAAAAGTTCTCTAGTTTCTTGGCAGAATTCGGTGTTCGATTACATCATTCTTCACCTTATTATCCCCAAGCCAATGGACAGGCGGAAGCAGCAAATAAGATTATTATTGGGATTATAAAGAAGATGGTTGAAGGGAACCCAAGAAAGTGGCATTTGTTATTGTCTCAGGCTTTATGGGCACATAGGAATACCAGAAATACGGCCACAGGGTTCTCACCTTACCAACTCACGTTTGGCCAAGATGCTGTTTTACCAGCCGAAATCCGAGTATCATCTGGCCGAACAGAATTTACTGATAGTGGTCTTACAGAGGAATACCAACAACTTATGATGCAACAGTTAGAAGATTTGGACGTTAACCGACTCCATGCAATAGGGCAAAGTGTGAAACAGAGTGAAATCAGAGCAAGAAGTTACGGAAAGAAAGTTCTTCACAGGACATTCCAAAAAGGGGATTTAGTCTGGAAGACCATCCTTCCTACATATAAGAAAACTGACCAATTGGGAAAGTGGTCACCGAATTGGGAAGGACCTTACATTGTTCAAAAAGATATTGGGAATGGCGCTTTCATTATTGTAAATCATGAAGGGAGAAGAATACATGATTTTATTAATGCTAAATATCTGAAGAGGTATTATCCTGCCTTTTCAGATAACAAAACTGCCTGAAACAAAATATTATTCAGAACCCATTTATGGGGTTCGAACCTATTTAAAGGTTCATTTAGTCATCGTGTATTTGTGGGAAGTTTTCTGCCTCTGAATCAGACTTTTCATCCCAGTGAGTGGATATTAGCTCTGGTTCTTCTTCAATAAGATCTTCCAAATCTGGTCGGTACCTTTCCCATTGGCTTTGCAGTTCATCTAAATCTTGATGGGTACGTGCTTGCATGTCTGTTAGGGCTTGATGTTCACGATCAACGATGGTCCGCAATCTTGAAAAGACTTTTCGTTGATTGGAAAATATGTTATCCCAGCCAAGATCTGGAAGTATGGTTGCTGCGTGATTTTCGATCATTTCCATGTGATGATGAAGATCAGGAATGCGGCTAAGGATGTCATGAAGAGGTTCATACCCCTCAATGACTTTTTCCATCAGGCGGATGACGCGATGAATGGTTCTTCTTCCTCGTTGGGAGAATCGGAATTTGAAGTCTAGTTGCTTGAGTATATGTAACAAGTCTTCTGCATGGCCTCCAATAGGGTGATTACCTATAAAGAAGGGTTGAAGAACACCCTCCCAGTTGCTTGATGGAACATGAGGTCGGTCATTCGCCATGTTTGTTCACACTTTCAGTGTTTTGATCTTTAAAATATGCCTGGGAATATGTTTCTTAAAATGTGAGAAACAGTGTTCTTTTAAAGAAGGAGTTTGGTTCGTTTCCTATAAAGCTGGGAATTGAAAGGTGATCCTTGTTTTGAGAGAAGAAAGAAAAAATGGATTACTAAGTCAGTTGTTGTTACAAAGGGGGAAATATTACAACAGTGCCCCTAGGGCAGTTTTTATCTGTGTCCATTTGTTTTCATCCCTGGATAGCCTTCTGGTATTGGCAGCCGTCTGATATCTTCTGATGAATTGGGATCGGGCTTGGGTTTTCAGCTCTTGATCCAATTCAGCCTCATTTTTGGTATACTTCTCAAGCAGATGCTGTTCATTGGTAATTTGCTTATCCAGGGTAGACTGTTCTTTCCTCAGCTCCCGCAATTCTGCCTCCTTTTTCTGAATGGCATCATCAACCAGAGCTTTCGTGCTAAGGAGACCACCCAGTCTTCCAGTAGTCTGCTGAAGGGATTCTCGAGTCTTGGCCAAAGAATTCTCCAGCGTTGTTTGATCGAAGTCGGGCTGGGGGGTTTCGGCTGACAGAAGGCCAATGACTACCACTTCAGTCTTGAGCTCTGTAAGTCTTTCCATCAGCCGATGCAGAATGGGGACGGCTGGTGATTCCGTTGGAGTGTAAAAAAGAAGGCCACCAACCGTCTGAATGAGTTTGTCCAATAAGTCGGACCTTAATTCGGACAGGGGACGGTTAATGGCCTCAGTGAACACAGTCTGGGCCTCCGCTGGAACCGGAACAGTCGATAGGACAGCTAAGTCCGAAGGCCCCTGCAAGTCCTACAATGTCAATAAATATTCCAAGGGAGTTGTAAATTTGTTCGAAGAAGATATGTGGTACCTCTGGGCGGACTGCTGTCAGTGAGGGGGGTAGCAATGAGGTCGGTCGAGCTGGGCAGACAGCTGGTATAACAGCAGCCGACTCGTCGGCTGCTGCGAATGGTCGCTGAGGTGCCGACCTGGGTCCCTATGGAAAGTAGTATTGTAAACAGTTAGTGTTTTTCGAAAGAAAAGTTATGACATGGATTGGTTTAATCTTACCAAATTAACAGAAGTCTCCGAATCGGATGAAGACATTTCTTCCATTTCTGGAGGTTGGGCTGCCACAGGTGGTTCTTCTGCCTGCCATTCGATGGCTAGGGGGGGCGCCGCTGCTGGTAGGGCGGCTGCAGGTTGGACGGCTACATCTAGAGCCACTGCAGCCAGGATCTCTGGGGCACCTTCGATTTCGGGATCAGCAGCATCAGGGATGTCGTTTTGAGGGTCAGCTTCGGCGAGGGCGGCTGGTTCTTCCTTTGACATAGATGAGTCTGATGCCATGTATGGCGGCCGACCCATCTGGGAAGTAGTCCCCTCGCTGTCAGAAGAGACCCCTGCTGCTGATGGGATGGGTGAAGGTGTCTGTGGAAAAATCATGAAGATGTTTGTTGTTAAATATATTAAGGTTGATCATCCGAATCCTAAGTCTTGCTGATAAAGGAACTTACTGGTTCTATAGGCACTGTTGGTAAAGATTGTCTCCTGGTCGGGGGCCTGGCCCGACCACTCCTCGGTACGGGAGGAGGCGTTTGCCTCCGCGTCGGGTCCTCCGCCCGACTGCTCATTGGCAAATTGGTCTGGACCAAAGGCCCGATTGAATGGTCGGTTGGTGCTGGCGTCGGTTGCATGGTCGGTGTCACCAAGGTCGGTTCTGGGGAATGAAATGAGTAAAATCAAAGTTATGATATAGTGAATTGGTTCACGGTGTTAAGAAACATTACCAATTCGGGGTCGGGTCCTTGCTGACGTCCTAGTTATTCCAAGGTCTGCTAGTGTTTGCTGGTCGGTCTCCGAGGTTGGGGGTGTTTGCAGCTGGGAAGTTTTTCTTTTGCGCGTGGGACCCCCAGATCCGATTCCCGGGGCGGTTGTTTGTTTTTGGGTGCTAGTATGTATCGCCGCCCCTAGAACCAGTCCTTGGGGGGGGAGGAGTACGTTCAGCAACCGATCCTCATCAGGGGATATCAGGGACCATACAACCGACCACCATTCATTGAAAGTATCTACAATCTCAGGGTTGGAGCGGAAAGGAATATAAGAATTGGAAATTATATACGTGGTGAGCTGGGAGATATAAGAAGGGATTGAATTAGGAAGGACTCGTCGGTCGGGACTTTGAAAAATTATTTGGGGACACGCGACGGGTCCAGGGATACCTTGGCAACAGCCGAACTGGCGCGCCATGAATTGAGGTTCATAGTTAAAAGTGTAAAAAGTTTTCTGCCCTTTTTTATCAAGTTTCTTGCTACTAAAAAGAGACCTGGGTTTGAGGGCGACGTCCCAGGCGAAAGGATAGGTGGGATGAGGACAAGGCTCAGGAGTCGGAAGCGGGTTTGGTACTGGAAAGGGCCAAAAATGGTCGGGAGCATAACCCGCATACTTTTTATACATAGAAAATCGAGAGTTACTGCGGGTATCTGTTAAAATGGCAGTTATTATTGGATCGGACGATTGGAGTTTATTGCGTCCTGAGCAGAGTCGGTTGAGGACTAATCCTAAATGTTTTTCAGATGTTGGCATAGTGGGCGGAGATCCTAAGTTAAACGCGTTGGGGAAGTAAAGACGGAACCAAAGTTCTAAAAACCAAAAAGGACCCGACGCGGCAGTGTCTAATTTCCTATTATCGTTATCTGTTAAACGAAGGCTAACTCTGGTGAGTCCTTCAAACAGATTGGCTAAAAATAGGGTGCCAAGGGAGAAGAACCGACCTGACGCAATATGAATGGCCAGGTCGAGGTGAGAAGGAAGAACACTTTTGGAAGGAGAAACAATGATGTACCTACAAAGCCAGAACAGAATAAAGGCAGTATGCTCCCGGTCGGTTACAGGAGTCCCTGGAGCCCCTTGCTGGTCGGTTGCGAACTTTGTCCAACCCCATTCCTTCACACCTTGTAAAGACCATCCCGGATGGTCTTCTGGTGGCTCCTGCCCGTCTAGGGCTCCCATTACAGGGTCTTCACCCACGACTGGGAGATGTGCGATCATGGCCACGTCCATAAGGGTTGGGCCAAAGGGGGCCGAGGGCAAAAGGAAAGTCCCATTTTCCGCATTCCAGAAGGCGGACATGGCCAACAGCACCTTCTCATGCAGGTTGATAGGCATGGTAGACAGTAGTATTGCTTGGTCGATCTTTTGGGATCGCCATTGGGTCTGGAAGTGTTCTGCTACTCGTCGATACCAAGCACGATACAGGTCTTTTGGGTCTGTGAGATGGGTCTTGATGCTGTCTCGGATGCGAACTGCTTGGTAGTTGGGATTGTTGATAGCCAAGGCGTTGCGAGATTCCAAAACTTCCCTCATCCGATTTGAATCTTCAGGAGTAGTGCAATATGGACGGATCGTCGGAGTTAGTACTTTCGAGGCTGAAAATGGACCTTCTGGAAGGGTTCCGTCGAAAGGAAGGGCAGGAATGTATTGATTCGCCATAGTTAGAATGTTTTGGGATTGTGATTCACACAGGCTTGTATTGCGAAGAAGGAATAAACCAGGAGTGTTGCAGTAACTGGTGTAGTTGCTAAGGGAGTTTTTCAAGAAGGTAGTGCTTTATGAACTTCCAAACATTTATTGGCGTTTGAAAGTCCCTTGGCGGCGGGCAAGTTGTTACGTACGAAATTTAGAATTAGGTTAAAAGCCCAAGGTAAAACGAGGAATGGGCCTGGCAATAGGGTTGATTGAACTGGCTGAAGGACACCGTGAGGAAATCAAGGAAAATAAATTTATTTATTTATTTCTAAGGAAAATTCAGGACGGAAGGTTTTTAGGTCGGTAGGTCCTCAGGACGGAAGGTTCTCAGGTCGGTAGGTCCTCAGGACGGAAGGACCTCAGGTCGGGAGGTCCTCAAGATGAAAGACCTCAAGTCGGATGGTCTTCAGGTCGGGAGATCCGCAAGACGGAAAGACCTCAAGTCGGAAGGTCTTCCGGTCGGGAGGTCCGCAAGACGGAGAGACCTCAAGTCGGAAGGTCTTCAGGTCGGGAGGTCCGCAAGACGGAAAGACCTCAAGTCGGAAGGTCTTCAGGTCGGGAGGTCCGCAAGACGGAAAGACCTCAAGTCGGAAGGTCTTCAGGTCGGGAGGTCCGCAAGACGGAAAGACCTCAAGTTGGAAGGTCTTCAGGTCGGGAGGCCCTCAAGATGAAAGACCTCAAGTCGGACGGTCTTCAGGTCGGGAGATCCGCAAGACGGAAAGACCTCAAGTCGGAAGGTCTTCAGGTCGGGAGGTCCGCAAGACGGAAAGACCTCAAGTCGGAAGGTCTTCAGGTCGGGAGGTCCGCAAGACGGAAAGACCTCAAGTCGGAAGGTCTTCGAGACGGAAAAGTTGTCGAGATAGGATATCCGCAGGTCGGGTAAACTGTAGGTCGGATAGAAGGCGGAGTCGGACAAACGCGGAGGCCTTTGATCAAAGACAAGGGGGCGGTTGATATGGAGGTCGGCCCAAGTGGGGTCGGGCGAAGAAGTAGGTCGGACGAAGGACGAAGTCGGGCCAAAAGAGCGGAAGGTTTGTGGTCGGCTCAAGGAGCGAAATATAGGGAATTTTGGTCTGCTGGGGACACGTGTCAGCATGAGAAAGGTTGGAAGACGGTTGAGAAGGAGACGTTGTAACCGTTCGGGTGACGGTTTTCAGTACGGTTTCCCAGGGAATATTTAAGGATTTGAATCATCGTTTGGCGAGGGATCTTCAATCAACTTCAACAAAGCAAAGTCAGATTTGGGGATCACCACTTTAAATTTCAGTCTTTTATTTTCCAGTTTATTTTCTGTTTCCGTACAGTGTTTAGAGATTCCTAATCTCAGGCACTAATTAATCAAGTTTAAGGATATTTTCTATATCTTTGAATTTTACTTTATTTTTGTTGAAAAATTACATCAACACTTCTGAATCGAATACACATAGAGTGTAAGGTATATTGAATATTTTTTATCATATTAATTTTCATAAACATTGATTTGTAATTTTTTATGTATTTCTTCTGTGTTTGATGTCCTATTATAGAATTTTTTATTTAATTATATTATTATGAAGTGTGTTTTTTTTTAAAAAAAAATGTAAAAAGACCATGTCACCACATATACATTTTGTTAATTCGTTTATATATATATATATATATTATTATATTATTCTTACATCCTATCAAATACGTTATTATCATTATCACTTAATAATTTGTTATAATTTATTATAATAATAATACTATTTCCGTCTCACATACATAGATACAGTATTTTAGAAAGAATGTAATTAGTAGATAATTAAGAATATATTAGTGAAGATAATTATTTTATAATATAAATAATTATAAATTAAGATTAAGATTAAAATAATTAATTAGTTTAATTAAAATTTAAAAAAATAAAATTAAAAAGTTTAAAATGAGATTAAAGTGTATAATCATTTTATAAAAAGGGAAAGTGACATGGTACATGGGACGGACATAAACGGCAACGTGGACATGATATATGGGACGGGGGAGTAATAATCGTATATATATTTGAGGACGGTGACATGTAATTTTCCTTTAAAAATATAAAAAATAATTTTTGAGTTCAGCCACTGATAAAATATTTTATTAAAATATTATATATTCCACAGTAATTTTTTTTTTATTTTTTATAATTTTTTTAAAACTTGTTTTCGGTCCCGCCATTAATACAATATTATATTATTAATATTATTTATAAAATATCTAGTTTTTCATAATAATAATATTATTACTATTGTATTTTTATTATATTTTAAAAATAATAAAATTTTAAGAAATAGATAAAAAAAAAAAAAAAAAAGTGAACAAAATTCTATTAGTCGGATAAATAAAATTTTTAAAAAATAAATTAATTTAAGTGTTAGATTGTTATATTCTTTCACATATTATTTGTTTAAAATTATATAATTAAAAATAAAAATAAAACTGATATGAAATATAGTAGTATTAAAATTTTATATATTTGAAATGACTATCAAATTAACATTTTCTTTAACAAAAAAGAGATAATTTATTTTGTAATACTTTCTCCGTCTACTTACAATGTTTACATATTTTTATTTTAAGACGTCTAATTACAAAGTTAATATTTCATTAAATACCCCATTTTTTTCCACAAATACCCTTACTTTACATCACATTCTTACTTTGACACAAAAAAATAATGGCAAAAATATCATTACACTACTTTTAACTACTCACTATAATTAAAATACTATTATTTCTTAAACACCGCACCAAAAATAAATGTAAACATTGTAAGTGGACGGAGAAAATATATGAATATATATAAAAAGTTATGATTTTTTTTTTTTTTAAAAATATCATTTCTTTAAGAAAAATATATTTTGTATTAATCTTTGTAGATTTGTTGATATTAATTTAACAATATTTAATTTTTTTTTTCAAAATAAAAAAACAACTATAATAGTGATATATCCTTTATTTTATAGTTGCACTATTATATATATTCACTTTATCATCAACTTTTTACTTTGTGGTGATTAAATTTTTATAATAATTGTTTTGCTTCCTTACTTATTTTTTTTTTGATTAATTGTCTAATATTACGTATAGTTTTTTTTATCTACAAGATTTCTTAACTCAAAAGATTTACTATACTCCATTACATTGATGTAATAAATATATAATCTTTCACAAGTTTTTGAATAAAACTAAATTTCTTAAAATACATAGTATATATTTTCCTTTTTTATTTTTTTTAATTGTAGATGGAAAATAAAATTATAAGATGATTTGATATTCGTCGACGGGCTTTTGCATGCTTTATTGCAAATTATCAGTTTATTAGAATGAATAACAAAAGAGAATAGGTTATAGTTTGAGCGCAGAGCGGGAAAGAATATGTAAAGAAATAATGAGACAAATTAGTAGTGAAACTAGTAGGAATATTTTAAAAATGGGTCATCAAACTTTCATATCATTGTGTCAAATCTTAGAAATAGATGGTGGATTGCAACAAACACGTTGGTCAAGTATGGAAGAACAAGTAGCGAAAAATATTTATATATTAACACACAATGCTAAAACCCGTGAAGTTAACTTTTGATTCCGTCGCTCTAATGTGACGATTAGTCTTCATCTCCGGTGCTGAAAGCTATCATTGAACTAGAAGCAAAGTTTTTTGTACAACCTAATGGCTCAACTATTCATTCAATAGTACAAAAAAATAATATATTTGTAACGGAATTCCGTCCCTAAAGTTCACGTAGCTAACCTAATTTCATTCCTAATTTTGTCTATATTGTCATTAGTAACGAAAAAAAATAGATTTAGAGACAAAAAAGTTTTGTTACAAAAATAATTTTTTGTTGTAGTGCAAGTTTTTAAAAGTTGTAGGTTTTTTTCCTACTTTAAGGTAATAATACTTAATATGCAATTATATAATTTTTAAATTTTTATATTATATTAATAAAAATATATAATGTTAGAATTGTGTGGGTTTCCAACACAAAATGTGTTAGTTGCGTGTACTTTTGACTTAAAGTTCATTTATGTGCTTACTGGATGAGAAGACAGTTTCTTATTCAAGAATTATTAAAAAAAATGTATTAACACGTGAAGATAAACTCAAAATACCTCAAGGTAATTAATATGATAAGTCATATTAATTATTTATATTTGATTGAAAATAGTTATATTGGTTGTTTGTATTAATTATAGGAAAATATTATCTTGTTGATGTTGGCTTTATGTTGACAAAAAGACTTATTACACTATATAGAGGGGTTCGTATCATTTGAAAGAATATTCGACACGGGATCCGCCTCAAAATTATAGAGAATTTTTCAATCTCCGTCATACATCATTACGCAATGCAATCAAAAGAGCGTTTCGGTGTACTAGAAAAAGATTTGCAATTTTATCAAATTCCACATAGCCTACTTATGGAGTCAAAACACAAAGTCAAATCATTATTGCATGTTGTATTCTTCACAATTACCTTATGACCATGGATCCCGACGAAGATCTTATAGCTGAAGTAGATGTTGAACTTGATATTGAAATAGTGTTTGATAGCAATGATGATACTTTAGGAAGTGAAAGTGATTAAGCGGCTTAGGGTGAGCTTGTAAGAGATGTTATAGCTAATCAAATAAGGTTAAAATATGATCTTGATCGTCATTTAGATAAATAATATGCAACTTTTTATATATCTTTTCCACTTTTGTTTTAATTTTAGCTTTTTTGGTCTTTTTAATAAGGTTTTTTTTTTTTTGTTAAATTTAATTGTATTCGTGACATTGAATTATGTTCATTAATAATTTATTGTATATTATCTTACTTATTTTGTTGACATATTTATATCTTAGTATAATTATTTAAATAGCAGCATGCCATCTAAAGATAATCACCAACTAATTTTAATTAGACACAACAATGGATGGTGCTCTCATTGATGTATTCTTGCACAAGTTCAATGAAAGAAACAAAGTTAATGGTTCTTTCACTTTTACAGCGTATCAAAATATTGTTAATGAGTTAAATGCTATTTTCAGTATGAATATTGACAAAGAGAAGGTCAAAAATCATTGGAAGGCATTGAAGAAATTTTTTTCTGAGGTTTATGATATATGTAAAAATGGTTTGAGTAAATTTGCTTGGACCCCTTCTACTCAATCATGGGATGCCGAACCAGAAGTTTGGAGTGCTTTAAAAGATGTTTGTTTTATAATTTTATATTTTTTTATTATAAATATTTTTATTAAATTTATCTAATTATTGTGTGACTAATTCATTTATTCTTTTTGCAATCAAAACCTAAGGCTGCGTATTGGAAAAATACTCCAATTTTCAAATTATGAAAAAATTGTGATTCTTTATGGTAATGATCGAACAACGGGAGAGGGTGTTGAAACTGCATTTATGATAAGAAGGTGTCAACATCTAACCACTAAAAAAAAAATAATAGCATTGAAGACGTAGACAATCTTGTCTTTTAGAACAAAGTCACTTTATATTAGAATGATGCATTTTCTAATGATGATATGGACAATTTCTCAACTCATGAAAGTAATACTCGTTGCGCAACTAATGGAAAAAAAAAATAGAAGAAGCTCAAGGAGAAAGTTAATGAAATTGAGGAGATCAGTGAAGGATTAAAAGAAGTAGCGCAAGTAGCGCAGACAATAGAACACGGTAATACAATAATGAAAAAAAAAAAAAAAG